ATTTTTTTTTTTTAATTTTATAGAAGTTTTAGGGTGATACAAATTTTAAGTGTATAAAAACTTGATGGTACAAATATCGATATTTATACTTATAGTAAATACATATGTATATGAAACGAACGTTTCGACTTAAACTACAAGCTCATTTTTTAACCTTAAAAATCGGACCCCCCTGAGGGAAATTCCTAGATCCGTCACTGCTTATGGTTACATATTTCAATGTTTTGTGCTTTTTTTCACTGCGTAACAATTTTCTGAAAATTATTTGACATTCGAATTAATTAACATCAACCTATTTGCTTGTATATTTTTTGTGTGCTTGTTGGATTCTAGTTTTATGGTGATACTTTACTCATAATGCTATTTGAATATTTTTTTGTGAGAAAGATAATGTAAGTGGGAGTCATTTTGAATGATTTTGGAACTGGAAAGAGAAGTCGCAATGCGTGAAGAATGAGTTTGGCAACGAACATGTGGAATGATGTTGGAAATATTTGATGTATTGTTCATTTTATTTTTTTTTTTATTTTTATTTTTCTACTTTCTATTGCACTCTTTTGGTTTTGGTTTGATTGTTGAATATTTTTTATTTTTTTTCTTACTTAATGGATAGTGCTTAATGTCATAAAATATTTTAAATTAATATTATTATTTTTAATTACTAATTTGACTTTATTGATACTAGTTATTATGCACAAATTTTATTATGAGCATTTTATACAAATTCAACTGTTATATTTAATTGTTATACGGAATTCTTAAAAGTCTCAAAATGTTTACATTGAAAGTCTTAAAAAGTCTCATAAGTCATAACAAATCTCATAAAATCCACAAAAGTCATTAAAAGTTGCATAAAGTCTTCAAAAGTCATCCTTTTAAAAAGTCTTAAATTTTTTTTTAAAAGTCCTAATTGAATACACTCCCCTAATTTTTTGACTACTTCATAAAAAGTTATTTCTATATTACCATGTGTATATATTGTTCTCAATTTAATCTAAATAATAATAATAATTTCTAATTAATAAAGTTATGAAATAAATATGTGGATTATACTGTAAAAAATTAAATTTAATATAAAATAAGATATTTCAGAATTATGTTTTGAAAATGAATTTTGTATTGGAGATTTTCTATCAAGTAGTAACCGGCAAAGTGCCTAACCCCAATTAATCCAGCCTTGTCTCCTCCACCAATAATTCCGACGACCTCAGAATCAAAACACCCCAAAAATTCGAACCAGTAAACCCTAACCAATTAATTAACCTCGCCCAAGTCAGGGAAAAGAAGGGGGGGAATCCAGAGAACCCTCGCCCCGGAAGAATGTCGGAGACGCCGGAGAAAACCCCGATTTCGTTGATCTCGCCGACGAGCTCCCGCTCTGTCACGGAGACGATAAACGGGTCGCACCATTTCGTGATCCAGGGGTATTCTCTGGCCAAGGGCATGGGCATCGGCAAGCACATAGCCAGCGACGAATTCACCGTCGGAGGCTACAAATGGGCGATTTACTTCTACCCCGACGGTAAGAACCCGGAGGACAATTCTTCGTACGTGTCCGTTTTCATTGCCCTGGCGAGCGAGGGTACGGACGTCCGGGCGCTGTTCGAGCTGACTCTGGTTGACCAGAGCGGGAAAGGGAAACATAAGGTGCATAGCCATTTCGATCGATCGCTTGAGAGCGGGCCTTACACGCTTAAATACCGTGGCAGTATGTGGTAAAGTCTTAATTGATTTTGTTATATTTACGTCTTTCTCAGAATTTGTATTTTTTTTCGGAGATTATGCCACTTTTCTAAGGGTTGCAGATTTTCACCTTGCATTTCGAATGCTTTGTGTTGCATGTTAAACTTAATGTTTATGTTTTTGTTGAGCAATTGAGGAGTACCAGGGCTTATGTGTTTCAAGAGAAGCTTTTCTTGTCTTTGAAATGGAAAAATTATAGATTAATTCATCTTGAACAATTGAAGATGTAAGTTTAAGGGCAGGATATATAGGATGTGCAGTTAAAGAAGTAGAAGAATTTCAATATTGCAGTTGCAACTATAGCATGTAAGTTTGTGCAGCATGTGACTTGGCTTTCAACTGAATATTTCCCATTCTGCATGTGCACCCAAGAATGCAAATATCCTAGGAGGCCAAAATCTTGCCAGTTGGGTGTGCCTTAATTACTACCTGGTATTAAGTGTGTGTCATTTGAATGCTCAGGAAAAAGCATTGGCGGCAGCGGAAAAAAAGAGCACTAGTGATGATATGTAACTCATAGCAAAGTACTTTGTTTAGATGTTTAGTCATTTCTTTCTCCACTCTTTTCATCGTTCAAACACAAAATGAAAGAGCTGCCTTTTTTTTTTCTTAGACAGATATTAGTTAGTTAACTATTTTGCCAGTTTGATAAGTTCTTCTTCATCAATACACATCTGCTGTTCATGTTGGAGGTTTGGAGCCAAGGTAGTATAGTAACCTACCTTATTATATGTTATTGATAGTATTGACTAGTTTGAACTTGAGTCGTCTTTTCCAACTTCTATTTCCTTGTTTTATCTGGTTATTATTTTTGTGCTTATGACAACATGAGACTTGTTTGTTGGGCTTACTACTTGCGGAAGAAGGTGAGATTGGAGGAGATTGAATGTCAAATAGAAAAGAGCAGGTACAATCAAATGATTAGTTTATTATACAGTATTTGAACTGCAGCAAAAGAGTAGAGAATATATAATAATAATAATAATAATAATAATAATAATAATAATAATTTGAAGCATCGTCTGTGCAGTACTGCAGTCTGACAGCAATTGATTTATGTGTAATGAACATCTAAAATAATCTCAACAAAGATTTTGTTTAACTGGGATGCCTTTTTTGCTCGTGTCTAGTGTTTTTTTAAGTAGTTCTTGATGTTGAGTCAGAGTACTGAGGAAGTTCTCTTGTAATTTGTCGCTGTGGTTGACTATGACGTTTAAGGAATGACTAAATAATTAGTGGAACTCAATCTGGAAGCGTATGTATTATTTGACGTTGGCATTACAAGCACTTTCAGTGGTAAAAGAGGCTCGGAAAGCCAGCTCAAGCAAATTTATTTAGAACTTCTGGTTTTATGTTGCATGAAAAAACTTGGATTTGGCTATTATAGTGTTTTTTCGCCCAATAACTGAAGAAATTACTTAAGAAAGAGTGTTACCTTAGTGGCTTCCATTAATTTCCCTGTATTTTAAACTACAGGGGTTACAAGCGTTTTTTTAGGAGAGCTATGCTTGAAACTTCAGATTATCTCAAAGATGATTGCTTGAAGATCAATTGTACAGTTGGGGTTGTGGTTTCTGCTATTGATTGTTCGAGATTACATTCAATTCAGGTTCCCGATTCTAATATTGGGTCAGATTTTGGTATGCTTCTGGAAAATGTCGATGGTTCTGATGTTATTTTTAATGTTTCTGGGGAGAGATTCCATGCCCACAAGTTGGTATTGGCTGCCCGTTCCCCTATACTTCGATCTGAACTTTTTGAAGAAATGGATAGTGCCGAACAAGAAATTATAGTATCAGACATGGAACCCAAAGTTTTTAAGGTTAGTAGAGTCCATTTTTATTTGCTCAAGTTATTTTAGGAATAAAAAACCGTCGCATCTTTTAACTGGTTATTTCTTGGTTAAATTCAAGTTATGCAATTTAATCCACTAGATTGATTATCAAATGAATTTCTTATTCTTTTCCGCATTTTGTGTTGCAGGCCATGCTACATTTTATCTACAGAGATGCCTTAGTTGAAGATGACCTGATAGCGTCCAGCTCTTGTTCATCTCCTTTGATTACTGACACATTGACTGCGAAGTTACTTGCAGCGGCTGATCGTTATGATTTGGGAAGACTAAGAAGGATGTGTGAATCTCGTCTTTGCAAGGATATATCTGTAAATTCTGTTGCACATATACTTGCTTTGGCAGATCGTTTTCATGCTGCAGAACTGAAAGCTATTTGCCTTAGATTTGCTGCTGAGAACCTGGCAGGTATATGCCTTTTGCGCAATTCCGTGTCTCTTTTCTCGTGTAGTTATCAACATGTTGTGTGTGGTTTGAATAAGAAAATGTTCTTGATATTGGTTACTCGGTTGCTCATCTATTTGCAGTATAGTTGTGCAATGAAATTGATATCTTGAGGTGTTATTGAACAATACTTCAGCATTTATAGCTTTCTAATGAATGCTACTGGCGATGCATTGTAAAACACAGTTGAGAAAAAAAGTATGAAATTATTTTAATGTTTACCAACACTCTTGACTTGGTTATTGAATTTCAGTTGTTAATTGTAAGTGTGTGTGTGTGTTGTGTGTTTCTTTCTTTCTCTCGTAAAATAGAGCTATTTTCCAAATAAAGAAGTTTTACATTTTGATTGAGAAAAACAGAAGTGGCTAATTGTAAATTCTGAAATTTCAAAATATCTGGAGTGTACCGTGATGGAAACACCACCATTTGAGCCATTTGCCAATTGCCTTTCCAGTGCTGTATGAATTAGGAAACTAGATATATGTTGGACTGTGATTTATTCTGTTTTCTTGCATTTTCAAATATACTCTTATACTATATATAAAGTACAATCAGATGTTGTAATTTACAAGCCATAGCTTATTATCATAAAATACGCAAAGCTGATCTATGGAAAAATGGCTACATGAGAAGCAATTTTGCAACCAATAGGAACACTATAGATGCACACGAAATGTTATTCGTAGCATGATGTAAAAGAGGGACACGTGAAAGAATGAATAATTGGTCCCTCCTCTATATTATGTTAAGTATACGCTTACTCACACACCTAGTGAACTCTGAGCATCAGACCCACTTGTCAAAGTATTTACCTGCATGCATTGATTACAAAAATATTTGGGGTCAGCACACCGAATTCTCTTTGATGGGCTTATCTCTATCAGTCAATACTGCCAAGTTATTATCTTTTCAATTTACGTTACTTTTTCTGCTTGCCTTGGGATTTTGTAATTAAATAAGATGGTAAAGGAGTTTGTATTTTACAATTAAGTTTGGTATCTCTTACGTTCGCCGAGATTAAATGTTCATAACATCTCTGGGAGCTCATAGAATTTTTTAAGAATCATCAAACAAATTTAAAAAGCTTAGAAGCTCTCAAGCATATTATAAGAGTTAATTAAGAGCTTATATATAAGCTTAGTCAAACACCTCTATTATATATATTTTTTTTTTGACAAATTGTAAAAGGGTCAACAGAATAAATGGATGTTACAGTTTGATATGTTAGCACTATCTTATGTTATGCAGATACTAAAAAAAATAAATAAATAAAAATAAATAAAAAAATAGAAGGATGTTTTTTTTTTCCTTTAAGTTTGATGACAGGCTTCCTTCATATTTCTGTTTGCAGCTGTTATGCGTTCGGATGGGTTTGAGTATCTGAAAGAGAATTGCCCGGCCCTACAGTCGGAGCTTTTGAAAACAGTGGCTGGCTGTGACGAGGATTGCAGCAGCAGTGGTGGCGGAAAGTCGAGAAGCGTGTGGGCTCAGCTTTCTGATGGTGGCGATACATGTGGCAGAAGGGTGAGGCAACGGACTTGAATACCAACAGAACTCATGCTTTCTCATTCTTGTAACTGTAATCAATGTGTACTAAATTGCCTTCAAAACTTTGTGCTAAGTCTTTCATAAAATTTGATTTTTTGTCTTTTGTTTGTTCATAAATGACAGTGATAGCAGTGGACGGACACAATCGCTTATGTTCTTCTTTAGGCTTCTTGTTGTTATGCTATGTGATCAAGCTTGTTTGCATTAGGGCTTATTTTAGATGATGAATTTGTATGTGAAATGCTGTTTAAATCTGCAAGTGACATGGATGAACAATTGATTGTTCAAATACTATAGTTTGCTTCTTATGATCTCCTAGGTCACTTCCATTCTATTCTTTTGTGATTTTTAGCAGGACTGGTAACCATCATAATCGACATGATAAAAAAAGTAGATACATTTGATGTGTACTGGAACTCGTTTTCTTTTGGGGGAAGAACAAAAGCCAAATTGAAGTTATGGAATTTTAGTACCCTTGACTTTTGCTTTTTGGCCTTACATCAAACTCTGATAATCTTCAATATATAACTAATATAAATATATATTTTGACTACCTATCATTCTCAATAATCTCTTTCATATTTTTATATCACTTCAATTTTAAGCGTTACATTTTAAATATTATATAAATACAACTCAAAATTCTACTCAACCATCTCTTGTTGAGTAGCAATTTTGATCAACCCTAAGCACTGAATTCGTGCTTGTAACAAAGTAATTAAACTGTTTTGGTCAGGTTTAAGGTGTTGAATGTGCTAAAAAATAAGGAATTACGAGGTCGAGTATTTTGCAATTGAGCTCGGGTGCTCGTATTAAATGCAGTAATTAATGTGCTGAAAAATAATGATTTTATGGTTCATAACGTAAGAAAAATTAGTTTTTTATCGATTTTAAGGTTCGGTTCTAGTTTCGCAAGTGGAATAATTAGAATGAAATCTCAAAACACTTTTTGGTTGAGCGAGAAACTAATTATAAGTTGAAATTTAGGGAATTTGAATTTGAGTAACTCAAAAATTGTGGGAAATTTCTCATCTTTTCTTCAGTTATTAAACATGAATTCGATCATAAAGCAGTTATGGTCCCCAGCTTCATAAACAAATTTCCACCCCTACCTAACTATGATGCAGCCATTTTAGATTGTACTAATTTGTGATTTCTAGCAAGCCTAACTGTTAAAAATTGTGATTGGGCTTTGCTTTTTTGTTGGTCAACGAATATTTTAGTTGAAGACGAGGCTAAAGGATCTTTTCCTGTCACCCCAAAACAAAAGTAGTTGTCCTCCCTTAAAACTTTGCCACGTACCCCAAAATTGCACATGCCCCAAACCTCATTATTATCCTTCACCTTCATGTTCATTGATGCACACTCTCCTAACAAGAAGATATTTTTATCCCCAACAGACCTTTTTTATGTATGCCTACTTATTTACTTACCACAGAGAAGAAAAAATCAAGAAAAAAAGTAATGGATGTGACTGCCCATTGTGTATCCTCATATTCTAAGAACAATTCCTTGTCCAATGGCACATTTTCACCAGCTAAATCAGCTGTTTTGGCCCATAAAAATGTCAACTTTGTGGGATACAATTGTCTGCCCAGAAAATTGAAGTGTTTTGCGGGGCAGTTGAGGAATTTTGGAGCCATTAATGTTGTTGATGATTATGAAAGCTCTTCAGCTGATGATGGGTCTATCAGATGGCTTCTTCAACCAATTGGTATGGTATTTTTTTTTTCTTTTTTTTTTATATACATAATTTGTGTATGTTAAGAATGTATGTTGTCCACTTCAGATTTGAAACATTCCATTTGATGTGATTTTTATGAATAAAAATGTTGGTATGATCAAGAAAGAACAACAATTTGATGAGGTTTGAGTGAAGAATGTGAGTATACTTACTACATATGGAATTTTGCAGTTAAGAGATATGCCCTTTTAATTGAATAGCTCTGCATTGTAAGAGTAGTGCTATAATTGAATAGCCATTGTAACAGTTTATAAACACTCTGTAATGTGAGTAAACATAATGTTGTTTGTTTTTCAATTTGCCACTTGCTAGGTGATGGTGACTCGAGGCACATAGGTTATAAGGTCGAAATGCCTGGGCCATTTGAAATTCTTTCCGTAAGCGTGTTTTTGAATCTTTATTCTTATATACATATACCTATTGTTTGAAGCATAAGATCGTATTTTTTAACCCGTTTGTTTTCCTACATGTCTTAGAATGTGGTGACTGTTGGGCGTGATCGTGAAAAAACCGATATAGTTATTCCAGTGCCGACAGGTAGTCCAAATATGTGCAAACTATACGAGTTGCGAAATTGTTTGAAAGAAATGTACTTTTAATGTTGTATCGAGTAGAACAAACAAGAGAGGTCGAAGTAAACATGAAACGCCAATAAACTTGTTTTGTTTGGTTAAAACTCTGTAGTCTCTTCTCTGCACGCGCGGATTGAAAGGACAGATGAGAATCTGTTGATTACCGATTTCAATAGCACAAACGGTACTTTCATCAACGAGAGAAGGCTTCAACCGGGTGTTGTTGTCTCGGCATTACCTGGAAATCTCATCACATTTGGTAAGAATTTTCGACTTTTTATGTTTTGACTGCTTACATTTCATTATACAGTTCTTTTTCTGAAGTGTGCCGATTTGTACCGACTTTCATACAGGGGACACCAATTTAGCAATATTCAAAGTATATAAGGTGGAGCAAGACAATCATCGAGCTACTGAACCCCAGAGATTTGAAACTTAAACCACCGTAAATTTTTAGTAATTTATTTCGGCTATTATTTTATTAGCGTCTTTCGAATTCGAGTTTTCGAACAAAATGCTCGTCGATTTTTGTTAGAACTTCCAGGTTCCAGGTGAAGAGGAAGGGATTTCATCTTCTTGATGGTAGTGAGTTTTGAGAGTGTGATTGGAAGTTGTTTTTGATATGGAAGATTTAGATGAACAATTATGTGCTTTTCACTTTTTAGATATAGGGGCGATCATTTAAAATTGATAGTATAAACTTGAATAAAATGAAATGAATTACTAATTTAGTTTTCTTAACTCTGTCATAGCTTTTTGCTAGAGAGCAAAAAACGTAACAAAAATTTAAAATACAAATAAATAAAACTCAAACGTCATAATACTGGGAATGGCTGGACATCTAACAGATGTTGTAGCTACAAATATTTAATGAAAAATAAAGATATCATCATATGAGTATATGAGATTTAAATTAAAAGAAATATGTGATAACAAAAAGAGCTGCTAATCCATGGAAACTTGTTGGGCTTCTATTTTCGCTATCTCCAAGAGACGGGCCTGCTGCTACTGGCCCACCACCTACAGCATATGATTAACAAGTTTCTCATGTAGCAGGTATAAATAAATAAGAAAGGATAATTAGTGGCATTATTTAAGAACATACCATCTGCTGAAGGGGCTTCACTTGGTGCAAGAGCTCCTACAGGAACGCCAACAGCTGCAATTTTTTTTATTTTTTTTTATTAAACAAAATATATAAGTCACTCTGTTAGAATAAATAAACAATTTTCATTGATAATTAAAGCAAAAGTTGCTTGATTTAGTATATCTAACTATCTAAGTGTACCCAAATATAGTAACTAACTTCACGTAAAATGTAAAATACTTGCAACTTTACTGGTAGTAACGCTGAAACAAAATTCTAGTGGTAATTAAATTCTACTGCGGATGCAAATTTACGGACAAGAGAGCACGTTAGTAATATAAACAAATGATAAATAAATAAATCAAAAGGTCATTTGTTACCGTTTGATAGATATATTTAATGTTTTGCCCTCAATTGAACATGCTGGTGGACCCGGGACATTTCATCGCAGAATTTCACATGTACGATTTTCGAATTCTTAAGAAGTTAAGTAATCCCTCCTATTTTTATCATTTGTCGTTTTGAGAAGAACACACTAATTAAGAATTTTTTTCTTTTCAATATTAATTCTATTTAATGGATGTTATGGGAAAAGATGGAGATGAGATATGAAGAGACACTGTGTATTAGATGGAAGGTTAAAATGAAAAAATATGAACAAAATAGTCAAAACGACATTTATTTAATCAATGATCAATTAGACCAAAGCGACAAATAATAAAAATAGAAGGAAGTATATGATAGGATTATTCCAAATAAATTGTCTAGCGTAGTTATCATCATCATTAAATGTGACTAGTGTGTATCCCGTGCGCTGCACGGAGGGATTTTTACTTAAAACTTTTTTTAAGACTTTATATTAAACATAGTTATTTATGTTTAACATCTTATTATTATAAAAAAAGAAATACCAAATATGAAAAATTATATAATATTTATTTGAATATAATGAGTGTCCCCAACCAAACTAATAACATCCAACATATGATATATGATAAAATTAATTATATGATCGTCATACTTTTTGAAAAAATATACATATATTTCTAATAAACATGTAAGATCCGCATTTAAATTTGTATTTGGATATGGGATGAAAAATGAATATGTACAAATAAAAAAGTACCAAGAACCTACATAAAATGAGATTCTTTATAAACTTTAAAATATTTTGTAGTTAAGCAAATATTAACAAACAAAATCATCAATTAAGTTGAACTTATCGAATATAAAATATAATTTATGATATCATTGACCATATTTACCCGTTGCATTTAAAGTTATCATTGACCATATTTTTATGAATTAAGGTTTACAAAATATCTTTTTCAAAATAACAATTTTTCTTAATTTGAATTTGACTTTTTCATCCAACCGCCATTTTCCACAAAAATAAAAATAGTATTTTGGAAAATTTTAGACGTGAAAATCAAATAAAATTAATTTAATAGTAATCGATTAATTTAATATTATTCAAAATTGTTTAATTCGGTCAACCCGATCTTAGTGCACGTTTAATTGAAACAATCGCTTACAAAAAAAAAAAAGGTAATCGCTTACAAAAAAAGGAAGTGAAATCTATCTATATAATATAAATCGGATTTTAAAAAAAAAAAGGAAATGAAATTTCATAATTAATTAATTTAAATTGATGTTATCCGATTTATATCAACTCCCTTAAAAAAAAAAAGGAAATATCCGATTCCTACCAAATCGATTAAAAAAAAAAAAGGATTATGATATACGTCCAAATAAATTACAATTGAAATGTAGGCGGGATTATGAAAAAAAAAAATAAAAAAACTTTACCGAATAAAGTAATAAAACAAAAAAAAAAGCGGGAATATGAAGCGGGAAAATAAGATAATTTTTTTTGAGTTTTTTGAACAATTTTTCTTAGTCGTAATAATAGTAATAGATTTCCAAAATGTTACCACACATTTTTTTCTATTTTTCTTATTTTTATTAAATTTTATTTACATAAGATATACATTGGTTAAGTTTAAATTGAATCTAAAAGTCAACTCCTCACACTTTTCGAAAAATGTTACCACACAATTTTTTTTTTCTTATTATGTTTTATTTACATAAGATATACATTAGTGGTTAATTTCAAATTAAATCTAAAAATTCAACTCCTCACATTCTTGAATTTGAATTTTTAAATAAGGAAATGTGTTTCCATATTTTTTGGTAGTTAGAATATGTTGGATTCATTTATCTATAACTAATCATACACCTATTCAAAATTTGAACCCAAACAAAATTCTTTGAATTTTTTGCTAACAAAATCACCTTCCCATAATTTATTTATTTCGAAAAATGTTACCACACAATCTTTTTAATTTTGTTTTTCTATTAAATTTTATTTACATAAAATATACATTTGTTAATATTAAATTGAATTTAAAATTCAACTCATCACAAATTTGTATATATATATATATATATAGAGAGAGAGAGAGAGAGAGAGTGGATTCTCTTTTTTTTACATATTTAAAAAAAACTAATCAAATTTTGAATCCCGAATTAAAATCGAATTGTAATGTGAACTGAAAAGATTTGAAATCTAATCATGTTGTAGATAAGGGAAATCCATGGCAAAAAAAGGGGATGAAAAAAATTCAAATTAAATTTAAGGGGGAAAAACAGTTTTTTAAGCGGGAATTTAAAATATTTTTTCAAACATTTTTTCTTCTCCGTATTATATAGTAATAGATTAGCAGATCAATTAAACGTAAAATCAATAGTTATACTTACCCATATTCATAATAACACATTATGCAACCATATTATTTTTACAAAAATTAAATACTTATACAACAAAATGCATATTTTTATTTGTATTATAATTTAAAGTATGGCATTTAATTGTGTATGTACTTTTATTGGAAAAGTATGATTGACTAACCATTAGACAACTTAAGAGAGACCTACTATTCTGTTTATAAATTGCCCTAATATTGACTTTAAAACAGAAGTACCACACAAGTTGTTTGGTAAAGATGAGTTTGAGCTACAATTAAAGTTTTTCGACTTCAATTAAGGCATCACTGAATATGAATCTAACTGGTCTTGGTAGGTCTTGTTTGGTTAAAGTAAGTTAAAGTGGGTTGTTTTGAATAAAATTGATTGAGGGGAAGATTTTGAGTTTGAAATTAAATAATATTAAAATGTAATGATTAAAATTGATGTCATGTTAAAGTATGAGAGAATTATTGGAAGTGATAGATAGCGGTTTTTGCTATGGAGCCGTCGGATGGCTCGACTTATGGAGTCATCCATAGTTATCCACAAATGGTGTATGACACTTGTCGAGAAAATTGCAAATTTGGTCCCAGAACTTTTGCTGTTTCCCACATTTGGTCTCAAGCACGCCAATTACGGTCCTTTTTAAATTTTCGTTGCCAAAATGGTCCCACATCCGTCAAGATTGACGGGGCTCATGTGAGGACGTTAGATTGCACAAATTTTACAATTTTTGGGACTAATTTTGTAATTTTTCCAAAAAAAAAAAAGAAGAGTTCTTCAAGTTCATCAAGTCTCTCTAATTTCCTCAAAGACAAAATGACATAATAAAATTAATTTACTATGAATATGATGCAGGAAATAAATATTAAAAATAATTTTATAAAAATAAATATCGGGTTGAAAAGTAAGGGCACTGATAAATTTTAATTTGGGGTGGAAAAGTAAACGATACAATTACTAATTGAGTAGTATTTATTTTATTTTCTAATATTTTTACCATCATTACATAAAAAATATTGACAATTATTTGAATATTATTTAAATTTAAGAATAATTAGAAATACTATTATTTTAATTAAATAAAACAAACCAAAAGACATAATCCAATTTACCAAAATAAGAAAAAATGTGAATATGCTTAAAGTAATACAAATCCGTCTACACTTTTAAATATTAGTATAATGTGATAATTTATATATATCCTTACAAACTTTATAAAATAATATGAATTAAAAAAAATCCAATCTAAACTAATTTTTGTATTACTGTCTATTTTTATTTCAATAATTTTTTATTTATTATAAATTAAAAAATATATTTACTTATGCAAATTACATCTACATAAAAAATTTCAATTTTAAGCATAATAAAACAAAAGTCGGCATTAAATTAAGTGAAAATAGACATTTGCTCCCACTTATATATAGTAAAATATATCATATATTTTTTTTGCATCTCATTTATCATGAACTAATTAATAAAATTATTTTATACACCTTTTGTTAAGTTATCTAATTAAATAATCATTTTATGTAAAAAAAATCAAGTTAATCTTTAATTTACAATAAAAAAAAATGTGAAAGAATTATATGTTAGTTATATTTATCTTTTATAATATATTAAAAAATAAACTAAATGTATTGTTAGGAAAGAATGGTAATATACCTTTTTAACATTTACTAAAAACTTTTTAAAAAAATGTTTCTAGTAAAAATAAATTTAAATATTTTTTATCACTTACT